GCGGTAGAGAAGAACTGTCCCTCCCTGCTTCATTCATTAATTTATATCATGGCCTCGTGGGTATTTATTTAGTCCCATGGGTGAAAATTCGACGTATCATTATTCATTCTGCTTCTCATATTGTCTTGGATTTGGTTTCTTAGAATTCCTTCAGATTGGCCTCTGTGTTCTTTCAACAAGCTCCCATCATTTCTGAGTCCTTTTTTTTTTTTTTTTTTTTTAACCTTCTATCACCGTAAATGATTCCAGGCTCATCCTGGGTATTTCCTGCCCTATCCCTGGAATCAACTATTTCTCCAATGAGCTCTTGTTCCTTCGGCTGGAGAATGGGTATTTAGGAACTAAGCCCTGAGCATCAGATGCGCTTATTGCTACTGGGCTGTCACTGCTTCCTGGCTCTCTCAGTAAACTGAGCAAGACCATGTATGCGTGCGTGCTAACACGCCCGTATTCTGGGTTTTATCTAGCTGTCCATCTACTGCATGCCATGAGCTCTTACGGATACCTCTGTTCTTAACCCAACACCAAGGGTTCATTTGGGTTTATTTTCACCTTTCCCTGCCTCATTTTTTTTTTTTTTAGTTTGTTTGTTTATTCCATGAATGAGAGAAAGAGAGAGAGAGCGTGCAACCCCAAAAGGGTCTTTCTCCCCCCGACCCCACAGGGCACATGCACTCACCAGAGAGAGGGAAAGTGAGAAATCACTCCCTAGGGAGAGATGACTATGCTGCAATCCCTTCTCCTCTGTTCTCCTCTTGGGATTTTGGGCGCACACAAAAAAAAAGGGGGCACACACACACACACACACACACACACACACACACACACACACATGCCTGTATGATTTTTCAAACAGCTGGGTTAAGGACTCAAACTGTGGTCGGCTATGTGGGGGTCTAGCACCTTCTCCACCACACCACCTGCTGGCCACCTGTCCTCAGCCTTTCAGTCTCCAGTGAGCATAGTTTCCCATGGTCATTTTTTTGTCTCTACCCCTTCGGGGTGGTTATGTTATCCATGTTTTAATATACAAAGGTTCACTTGTTAGTGCTTCTATTCTATGTTGGGCTCCCCACCCCCCAGCCCAGTGATTTTCAGTTTATTTGGGGGTGTGTGAAGAAAATGTAGAACCTGATTATTGTTCTGAAGTCAGAAAGACTATACAAAGAGATGGACTCAGACAGGTGTCTCTCTGTCTCTGCTACTCTTTTTCCCCTCACCCCTTTTTCAAAATTTTATTCATTTATTTCTTCCAAGAGAGAGAGACAGGGGAGAAGTATTTCCACCAGAGTCTTCACACCATAACACACCCGTAGTCTTAGCCAACCCAGATCATGGGTACATAACTTTATTTTTTAAATGTATTTATTTATTTATTTTTTAGGTTGACCAGACAGAGACAGCATGAGAGAAGGGGGGAGAGAGAGAG